CACATATGTATGTGTATGCTACAAATGAACCTGTAGCCAACGAAACATAAGTTTTTATATTCTACATCCATATATAAGTAATTGCATAGATACATACATATATAAATGCCCTTGCCATTACAAACATTGCCGCTGACGTCGTAGGTCGTACGTTCACGCTCATAGAAGGCCATGACAGGACTTACACAAGTTTTGTATGCCCTTGAACTTTTCATTTTGAAATGTTGTACATATATTTAGTATGTATTTATTAAGCAAAAATTACAAAAACCGAAATATGCAATAAAATTATATTTAGCCAGAAAGCCTCACTCATTGTTTTTTTCACTCCGCAAAGACTTTTTTGTAAATTTTAATTTACATTTTCTTTCCGTCCAGCATACTGATCTTCCGCTTTCAACTTAGAAAATATATTCTTATTGTACTAAAGCATAGGTTCCCAAACTTTTTTTCTCGTGAACCCCTTTCAAAACTTCACTGGTTTCGGTGAACCCCCATGCTGCATCATTTCAAAATGTTCCCAAAGCTCGTAAAAAATTAAATGTGAGGATAAGATCTAACTATGTAAATTTGTATCGCTGTGAAATCAAAAACTAAACTCGGAGTGGCCAAAGTAAAACTAAAATATTTTCTTTCTATTATTTTTTATTTCTACTTATTTAAATTATGCGATTATACACTTGCAGGTTTTAAAAAAAATTGAGTTCGGAAATCCATCAAAATACTCACTTGCTCTGAGGAGTGCCACCTGAAGTGACCAGTCCGCAGTCCAACAAGTTGTTTGCAGTGTCGTCTGCTCAATGAGAGCACAAAACTAGATAGACCGTTTGAGATTGAAGGTATCATGAGTTTTGCCCACCTGCATCCCCTTGATGCCTCCCAGTCATTGCTGAGCGAAGTATTTACACAGTTTCGGATGGTTGCTTCGATGGCCGAAAGTGGGTGTGCTAAAACCGGTTGCGAACCGAGGAATGTCTGGTCTGAGCCAATTCTGGCCAAATGGTCAGATGTCTCATTACCAGGTACTCCTGAGTGACCTGGCACTCAGAGTAAAGAAAGCTCGTTATGTTTACCACCATAATTTAGTCGAGACTTGCAGTGCCGAACTAGTTTGGAAGTAGTTATAGGGCTGGCCAATGCCTTAAGTGCAGCTTGGTTTTCACTGCAGACACGTAAACTCCACCCCCTCCACCTATTTATGTTCCACCATGTAGTCCATAGCTGTGAGGATTGCAATTACCCCAGCCTGGAAGACCAAAGCATATTCCCCAATAAAAAAGTGAAGCTTATCCCCATTAACTTCGAAAATGACCCCAGATCATGACCCGAAGTCAGTTTTGGAGCCATCGGTGAAGATTGGATAATGTGTGAGTGCGGTCTCTGTGATGGAATTAAACCAGCATTCAGTCTAAAGGAACTCAACAAAATAGAATCTATTCAACAAAGGTAATGGTAGCGTACTATCCTGTAGCATTGAAAAGAAATAAGTGCTCAAATCTCTTCCACCAGCAATTTCCGCCGCGCCCCACTCAGTGTTATACCAATATCCGGTTCCTTTTAATCTGCAGGTGGCTTCCCACGTATGAAAACACAAAGTGGCGGTAAGTGTAGCAGTGTGTCAAGAGCACTATACACTACTCAAAAAAATTAAACTTAATTAAAGAGGCTATCAAGCAACCATTTTAGTTCTTTACTATCGAAACCAGATAAATTTTCGTGGACCCCCACTTAAAACTCATGGACCCCCATATTTTTCACGCCACCGTCGACTCCCGTCGAGTCTCTCGTGGGCCCCTGGGGGTCCACCTGGACCACTTTGGGAATCACTGCACTAAAGGAACGCCGATACCCGTCAACTTAATTTTCGGTCGTAGATTATGGATCTGTATACCGCTTTTCTAGATGATCCAAAGACATGTAGGGGTAGGCATGGGGTAGTACCCTCTGGGCATCGCAATGGACCTTTGTGGCCTCCGAATGAACTCTTCTCAGAGCTGTCCGCTTAACTTAACCTAACCTTCCTTTGAGCATTCGTATTTACACATCAATTTTCTTCGTTAGAAATCATTAATTTATGATTTTTTTTTGTTTTCGTTGAACGGAAATAATTCTAAATTTTTGAGTTTTATTTCTTCGATCAAAAATAATGGTTATTTCATGATTTTAATTTTTCTCTCAAAGTTAATAATTATTATTGAGTTTTATTTTTCCACTTAAATATAATTATTGTTTATAAAATATTAAAGGCCATAAATTTTGAGATTTATTCACGCTGGTATAGCATTTGAGTTTTTTGATGAATGATCATTATTCTTAAGTGAAAAAATAAAACTCACAAAGTAATCATTATTTATGATCGAAAAAATAAAAATGAAGTAATAATAATTTCCTTTGAGCGAAAATATAAAACTCAAATATTAATTATTATTTTCAATATTTACTAGTTAGACTCGAAAAATAAAAATCATCGTAAATTATAGTAGGACGTACGAACACAAATACGTGGATATAGTTAAACTTGTTTTACGACGATTACCACTTGTTGATTTTGTGGTCAAATTTAAAAAAATAATGATTATTTTCGGTCCCTGATACAGATACGTAATCTACGATACAAAATAAAGTTTACGCAAGGTTCATAGAATAGAAGGTTACAACATCGTGCTGTAAAAAATTTACTGATTGAGAAAATCGATGGATAAATACGAAATAATGAGTGGTCAAATGAAAATGCGCAAAGATTTTTTTTATGAAATATGAGCAGAAAAGCGTGTTACTTAGGTGTACGCGCCGTATGAGTAACATTATTATGTGCTCAATCTATATATATAAAATTAAGTGGCAAAACTTCCTGTTCGCATACTCCTCCTAGACGACTTGCCCGATATCAAAGAAATTTTCAGGGGTGATTGGGGCCTCTGTGGAGGGTGCACATAAGAAATTTCATGTGTGTATCTTTGCACGTTTTGCAAAAACAAAAAAAAAAATTAATTCTGTTTGGCTTTACGTGTTTTTTTCGGATTTCTATCATTCCTAGACGGCTTGCCCGATTTCAATGAAATTTTCAGGGGTGATTGGGG